ATTGTTGAGTGTGGGATTCTTGTTTTATGAGTTTAGTGAAATAAATTTTTCCTCATTTATGTGCCCTTTTTTGGGGAAGGGGTTGGGCTGCAGTTTCTTTGTACTTTTTATCTTTGTACTTTTTAAAAAAAGAGTCCTGTTTTGGTTCTAGGTTGTATATCTTTGCACATATGCTACTCAAGAGATCCGTTTCAATTTGAACTCACCTTAATCTTTGTTGTTTCTCTTGCATATATTTCTACCAAACGTAACCATCTAAGGAAAATAAATGTCTTGATTTGTTTGGATTCAATTCACATGCAACAGGTCAGTGCATATATCATTGGAGAATTTGGCCACCTTTTGGCCAGACGGCCTGGGTGTAGTCCAAAGGAATTATTTAGCGTCATACATGAGAAGCTTCCTGCTGTATCGTAAGGGCACTTAAAAACTTTTCCCTCTCTTATTCTTACTAAATTCAGTTACAATACCTGTATTTATCTTAGAGTGTGTATTATATTTGCAGGACTTATACTATTCCTATTCTTCTTTCAACATATGCTAAGATCTTTATGCACACTCAACCTCCAGATGCAGAACTACAAAATCAGATTTGGGCAATATTCAACAAGTGAGATTGTCCTCTGCACCATTACTTTTCTCAAGTTGGTTAATTTTTTATATATCAAATTCTGTGCTTTTCTTTAGCATACCGTTTCTTTCTTTCAGGTACGAGAGTTGCATTGATGTAGAGATACAACAACGAGCTGCTGAATACCTTGCCTTGAGTAGGAGAGGTGCAGCTCTTGTGGATATATTGGCTGAAATGCCTAAATTTCCTGAGCGGCAGGTAATTTGTTTTGCAGTTTCGTTCAGAAGAAGCTTATAGAATCAGGCTATTGACAACAGTACCAAATTGTTGGAAATTATTGAAACCAACTCGTAACATTGTTTTTGTTCGTATGTAGTCTGCATTGATAAAAAAGGCTGAAGATACTGAAGTTGATACAGCGGAACAAAGTGCTATCAAGTTGCGGGCCCAGCAGCAAACATCAAATGCTTTGGTTGTTACTGACCAACGTCCTGCTAATGGGACCCCACCTGTCAACCAGCTCGGTCTTGTGAAGATTCCCAGCATGAGCAGTAACGCGGTTAGTTTTGCTTTTTCTTTTTTCTTAAATTTAGGGTTTGCAAAAGGTATGTTCAGATCCAAAGATTATAGCCAGTTTTGATTGAAATTGGTGTATGTTTGAATATCGTTACAGGATCACAATTCAACCAACCAAGCGTTATCTCAGGAAAATGGTACTTTGAGTACAGTTGATCCTCAACCTGCTTCAGCAGATCTCCTTGGTGATCTCTTGGGTCCACTGGCTATTGAAGGCCCTCCTGGTACTGCTGTTCAATCACAACCGAGTGTAATCCCTGGAGTAGGAGGCGATTCAAATGCAGTAGATGCCGCAGCCATAGTGCCTGTTGGCGAGGAGCAAAATTCTGTTCAGGTACTTTCTATAGCAGTTCTCTCCAATCGTTGGTGGGTGCATTATTGCTTCAAAGTTCTAGCATGTTGGGCAGAACCTGAATCTGTTCCAATTGCAGTATGTTCTGCACTGTAAACAAGACTGTCCATCAGAAATTGACAGTATATTTTGTTTTTAGAAGTAACAGTGTTTTTTGAGCTGTGAAATATGTTGAATAAGCCATAGTTAGCTAAATGTCTTTTGCCTCTGATTCTTGTCCTTTTTTCAGTTATACTTCTGTGTATGTTTGTTTGGTTCTTAGAGTTTGAATTCCCCTGATATAAGTTTTATCTGATTTTCTTGTTCCTACCTGCATCTGAACTGGAAAAAAAAAGTGTTTATGCTGCACCTGATAGGATATTTGTTATATTTCTTTATGTATAAAACTTTGTCAGATTTTATTTTCGATTTCTGTGGTACTAATACATGTAACTAATTTTATAATTGTAACCTGCAGCCAATAGGAAATATTGCTGAAAGATTTCTTGCTTTGTGCTTGAAAGATAGTGGTGTTCTATACGAAGATCCTAATATTCAGGTTTTTCCCCAATGAGTACCCTTATTTTCTTGTATTTAGAGTCGGTAGTTTCTACTCTTTCTTTGCAAGAGAGATTGTGAACATTCAGCTTGGCGTTATTGGGCTTATAGTGACATTCATGTGATGTTATCCCAGATTGGAATTAAAGCAGAGTGGCGGGTACATCAAGGATGTCTTGTTCTTTTCTTGGGAAACAAAAATACTTCACCGCTTGTGTCAGTTCAGGCTATAATATTGCCTCCCTCCCATTTCAAAATGGAGCTCTCACTAGTACCAGACACTATACCTCCCAGGGCACAGGTAATAATTGTTATACAAATTTATAAATAAACCCAATCCTAGACATGTATTTATAAAAAAACCCAAGCACTATTTAAACATAGAAACACACCCAAAATCAACCATAAAGTCAACTTTTTGGGTGTGTTTATATGTTTAAATAGTGTTTGGGTTTTTTTATAATTTCAACTCCCATTTTGGGTGTTTTAGTGAAACTCCCTAATTGTTATTCATGTAATTAATCTGTGGTCGTTGATGAGCCCTTAGGTCTCTTTTCTCTCTGTCTTTGTCTCTCTCACTCATTCTTTTCCTTTCCTAGTCCTTATATTTGTTTATTTTCTTTTATCTTTTTGGTTGTATAGGTACAATGCCCACTTGAAGTTGTGAATCTCCGTCCAAGCAGGGATGTAGCGGTTCTGGACTTCTCCTACAAGTTCGGTAACAATATGGTACTTAAATCTAAAATCCTGTGGTTTCTTGTGGCCAATGAAGCAGAAAATAAGTTATATTTGTGTCTTCATATATCTTATAGTAACCCTTTCATAGGTCAATGTCAAGCTTCGCCTCCCAGCTGTCTTGAATAAATTTCTTCAGCCTATACCAGTGTCTGCTGAAGAGTTCTTTCCTCAGTGGAGATCACTATCAGGACCACCTCTGAAGCTTCAAGAAGTGGTATGTGTGTTATATGTCGCATTTGTCTTCTTTTTATGGTTGAGGAAATTCTATTTATGGTTAAAAATGGTTGACAAACATTTATATTGACAAAGTGAATTCATTCATATTTATATACTATAAGTTGTGTCCTGTATCCAGTGATTGACATTTTCCTTTACCATCCTCTTCTGATTGGAAGGTTATGATGGGTTTCATTTTTGTAAGTAGCAAAGCAGGAAGATAGCATGTTAACTGTTACACTATCAGAGTAGGAAACACATGCTAACCTGTTTGTAGTCAAAATGTAGCATTATTCATTTGGCTTATTGCCAATTCCAGGTTAAGGCTAAATTATTATACATACTGAAGGTTCTGTATTTATCAACGTGGTGATATTGTCCAGTAAACCGTGCAGGTTAGAGGTGTCAAACCAATGCCACTTGCCGAGATGGCAAATCTACTTAACAGTTTGCGATTGATGGTTTGTCCAGCACTTGTAAGTTCCCTTTCTATGTTAGAAAGTTTCCTTGTGATCCGTTAGTTATTAAAAGTGTTCACTAACGTATTCTCTATTTCAGGACCCAAATCCAAATAACCTTGTTGCAAGCACAATGTTTTACTCAGAAAGTACACGGGCCATGCTTTGCTTGGTAAGATTTATATGTTTGCTTCCAGGACTTTGAGACTTTAATTGGTGGATTTGATGCCACCACTTTCATTATTAGGACACAGCTGAAACTCCAGTGTTCAGTTTATTAATATAGATATAAAATTATGTTGCTTGACCTTTCCCTTTCCTAGAAATCATATGAAGTGCTGATATTTTTTTTCTTAAGTAATTTTTAGGAGTTATCACATGACCTTTGCTTTAGAATTGTGAAAGGTTGGTGATTCAATAGCTTCTTTTTGGCTACTCAGGTTAGAATAGAAACAGATCCAGCAGACAGAACCCAGTTGCGTATGACAGTTTCTTCAGGGGACCCTACATTAACACTCGAGTATGTATCTACATAATGTATTGCTAACCTTAAATTACAACGATGGAAGATAGATTCCTCTGATCTCCGGGTGATGTACAGGTTGAAGGAGTTCATCAAGGAACAACTATGTAGCATCCCTACAGCCCCTCGTGCACCTGGACCAGTGTCACCAGCACATCCAGTAGCTCAGCCAACCAGTCCGGCTGCAGCATTAACGGATCCCGGGGCTATGCTAGCCGGTCTGCTGTGACAAAGTGAAGATGATATATGAGGATTTGTTCATTATACACTCGTAAATCTGATTTATACAACCTACCCAACGGTATCTCTCGCCAAAGTTCAAAAGGTGGATAGAGAAAATCCTGATGCAAGGGCTGGCGGAATCAAGTGTGAGCTAATTTGTGCGGACGGCTTAGTGTTTGAGTGGATCTCTCCATGGGTTGGTCGGGGTTTTCAAATTCTTTCTGTACAATGCAATTGTGCCTAAGTGAGAAGTTTTCTCGGTTTTGGGGTGAGGGTATTTTTATTTCTTTTTCTTTTTCTTCTTTCACATTTTTTTCCCTTCCCAATTTCAGTGGATTGGTTTCTGTAGTTACACAGTACTTGACAGAACAGAATGTAAGATATTGGCAGCATGAAGTAGATTAGTTGTAATATTTTGTATTTGGTTGCTAATGCATAAATATGTTTTTCAATAAGAAAATTTATTGGGTGATCAGTAATGTGATGTTGTTTCAAAAGATCAGTGATTAACCCTTAAGGTAATTTATTTTGAACCAAAAAAATCTGATACATTTTTCTTCATTGGGACTAAGAAAAAGGAATAGGGTCAGCTTAAAACTCAAATAAAAATAAAAGTAAAAAAGCTCCAAGTAAACTGTAAACAAAAGCTCTTTCATTAACAAGGTAATGGTAACAATTTCTCTCTCATTAGCTGTCCACGTAGTGCAGAGAATACAAAAGTTAAGAGTTTCAACTCGATAAACATTGAAACTGAGGTTTGCCCTCTAATGAATAAACACTAAAAATATATGAGAAAAACAAGATTTCTTGAATTCTGATTATTCTGAAGCCAACTAGTAAGTAGTCTGAGGTAGCTGCAATGAAGGCGGCTGCTGTGGGTCTAGAGGAGAGGCCAAGTCGCTATCACAAATTTGGATATAATCTTCCATCAAACCAATATCACCACCACCCAACAGCCAACTAAGATGATCAGAATTATTAGTATCCATCTGAGCTGGCTGCTCTTGTGATTCAAGAGGGAGAGGGGCCAAGTCACTATCACCAAATTGGATATAATCTTCCATCAAACCAATATCATTATGATCATCCAATAGCCAACTCACATATTCATCAATGTTGCTCAGAGTTGGTGCAGCAGCAGCAATATGAAGATCTTCCAAATAGAAACCATCCGAATTTGTGGTGCAATAATCTTCTTGTTGGTGATGAGGAACTTGATCAACAAGCAACATTGATTGTTGTTGATCTGGTGGATCTGGTAGCACACTAGTCCCCATGATATTCTCGTAGAATTCCATGAAACTGCAGGTACTAGTTGTTCTAGTTTTGGTACCCCCATCCCTCATCATCACAACTCCAATTCTCTCATTCAAACCCCCTAACATGGTGTCCAAGAAACTGTAATCAGTACCCTTCCCGACCGAGAATGAACCCTTTTCAATTTTCTTTCCCAATTTCCCTAGATTCTTGTGTTCGAGAAGAATTGATTTCGCATCTTGTTGGTTTTCCGGCCAAGTCTCGATTTCGCTGTCGGCCCCAACAGCGACCACGCAGACGGCAACGTCGCACAATATCGAGAGTTCGCTGGCCATTTTCTTCAGATTGGACATTCTCCTGGCCAAGGGGGGTTTCAGAACAGAGCCACCATTGGCGTCGATTTTAAGAACCTGCGGCTTCATCTTCATCTTCATCTTCTTAGGTTTCTTGGACTTTAATTGAGGAGGAGCCATTAGTTAATTCAACTCTGAAAGAGAGCAACAATGGGAATAATGGAATTGAAGAAACAACAGTGAAGGAGTGAATAGCGAGAGAGGAGGGTAACGGGGTATATAAAGGAATTCTAAGTTGACCGATAGTTGACCGAAGGTTAATTGGAGCCGAAGCAAACAGGAAAAACTAGCCGTTATATATGCTCACGGGTTAAATGGCAATCCTAGAAGACAAGATTTTATTGTCTTATTTGATTTTGTAATTGTAGTTCCTTTTTCTTTTTGAAACGGGAAATAATTAATCTGTTTTGTACTTTGATGGAAGGCAACTCTAATCTCTCATTTTTTTTGGGAAGTGAAAACGATATTTCTATTAAGAACCTAAACCCTGAAGTTTGTTACAATTATTTCATTAAAAAAAAAAAGTTCGTTACAATTATTTGTGAGATCATGAATAATTGTAACAAATTATCAATTGATAAATACAAGGTTGTCCAACTATATTAAAATTGGTCATGTCAATGGGGTCTTGACTTGCTGACAAGTGATTTAGGTTCGAACTCCTATGGTACATTGGTAGCCCATGTGAGAAACCTCTCTCGTTTTATAATTTAGACTTTCGCTTGTATTAAAAAAAAAAAAGTCGTAGAATGTCATTCTGCTCATACTTCCATAGTCTCTAATTTTTATCGATTCTGTTTTTTGGAATTTGACCAAGTATTGTTTCATGAGTTCAAGTGAAGATTGTTTTTTTATGTTGAAGTTTCTGAATTTATATTTACCTTTTTAATTTTAATTGAAGTTACAGTGGAAATTACATAGGTTATGGTTATTTTATAGTTTATTTTTGGGATTTGTGGATTTTTATTTTATTAGAAAATGACCTTTTTACATATCTTTTATTGAAAATTTATTTTTATTTATTTATTTATATTATTCACAGAATTATTATTTTAAATGTAATAAATTTAAGTTTAATTCAATTATATTGAAAATCAAACTCAAATTTAATCCAGCCACTTAATATTGTCAACACCATACACAAGATTCGATTAATGTAATCTAATGAAAATCAATCCAAATAGTCACCAAATATGGCCAAGTGAATTAATTCTTTTTATTTATTTATTTATTTATGTTTTTTCTCAATTGAATTCCTGTTAAATGTGTAATCCCACGAAATTACTGCACTTTGGATTTATTTTCTCAATTGAAGACAAACCGATACCAAACCACTTGGTTATAGTTTTTTTTTTGCTAGTTTATTTGTTTATAGAAACCACCTAGCTTTGGGTTTTTATTTCCATATGAGCGATAGTAAACTACTTTAAATAAATCTAATCTACGGATAGGGGGACTCGAACTAGGGCTAGGGCGCTGGTTTGGGTTTTGACCGTTAAGACCATATAATTCACATTCCTATGCTTAAGGAAGGATGCCAATTTTCTAAACCTTGTAGGGCCAAGTCTTCATTTAACATTACACCAAAAAGGGAATGCATCTACTACTAAAAAACGCAACAAAAGAACTTTCTACAACAGCCAAAAGCACCTCAATATGACCTGATTTCATAACAACGAAATTTGGGTAGGAATTTCATTTATACAAGCAATTCAATCAGATAAGCACCAAAAACCCGCTTATCGTCTGAACTGAGTTCAGACAAAAATATGAAGCTGGTGAAACAATAACCCATTTTCTGATCAGGGAAAAATTAGCCACTTTACAGTTGGAGCTCCAAACCTCCTAATTAACATGGAGGTGCCTAACAAACTATATAATTGGGAAGTCACAATTCAACTTCCCAAACTTCTCAAAAGAACTGAATGTGCTACAAACTCGGCAGGAAGCAACCATATCATCATTCAATCGGAAGCACATCAAGAATGACCATCAGGATCAAAAGTAATGAGAACTGAAATTTCCATATCAGATGTCACCTCTAACAAATCAAAAGAATTAATGACAACCAACAGTCATTTCCCAGCAACTTTCTCGTCCGGGAGAACTCCCCCTGAAGATCGTTTACAAAACAGAGACCTTAGAAATATGGCAAGAACATCTACCGCCACTCTCGGCACTGGCCACACTTCCAGCTGCCATTACCAGAAGATGACTCAATCCAAGGAGAACAAGTACTGTGTATCAATAGCCCACAGTTCTGGCAAGACAGATCAGCGCCTGGTTCTGCATGTGAACATATCTGACATTGCATGATATTCACATCAGATTCTACAGAAATAGTAGACTTTGATTGATCAGTGAAAGTAGCCATGTTATATTGTTCAGGGCCTCCATCCTGCAACACTGTATATGGATTTTCCAGATTTCCTGACTCATCTGCAAATGCTTGGCCTCCATCTAGAAAGCCATCATCATCATCATCAGGTGCCAACAACTCATTGATAGTGAAGACAGTTTGCGGTTCCATATTCTCGTAATTTAGATCTTCATAGTCATCCATTATCCCACTTTCGACGCCATTGATGGAAGCATCCCATTCAACATGAGGGGATGGCACAATCTCCATAGGATTTGACTGGTAATTTGTTTCACCAGGTGCAGCTATTCCAGCATAAGTTATGTTACTCTCAGGAAAGCCATCTACATCCTCTTCACGCTTAACACCCCTTCTCACTTGTAATTTCCGTGGCCCTGGCCCGGCAGTATTCCATTGATCATTAACTTCCGAATTGTACTCTGTAATTAGCTCAACTCTAGCAAGGGAAAAAAGAAGAGGATCACCATCCTGTTCCTGTATGGATGCTTCCTCCATGGGAAATATTGGAGTAGCAGGCTCACACAATTTAGAATCAGAAATGGTTGCAGAATCAGAGTCGTCTCCAACTGTTTCTTGCTTTGGACGCCTAGTGCGAACTTTCTTGCTCTCTTGCATCTTTATATCTTTAGGATCAGTGTAAGGACACACAGGTGACTTTATCCTGCGACACTTGCAACACTTGAAGCCCGCCACATCAGAAACCTTTGACTCCTCCAGTTCAACAGCATCAGCATGGTACCAATCTGCATGATCACAAACAGAATCCATCTTAGACACACACAAAAGGGGAAAATAATTTTGCCAAAAAGATGGCACTTGTAGGAGCAAACTTACTTTTGCAAGTTTCACAACATATATACATCATATCTGACTGATATGGCACATGGCACAGGTGGCAAACAGGATACAACCCACGGGATTCCGAACCACCCGCAAGAAGTATGTTATTAACCCGGAAATGAGTGCCAGCTTCCACACCATTCTTCTTCTTCCATATAATACCCCAAGAACAAATGCTGCGGCGTTGTTTTTTTGCTGCCAATCGAGAGTCTGAAGTTGCCTCTTTTATCTCAGAACGAGTGTCCTGCGCTCTGACATCTGTTACTGGTTGACTGTAATTTTTTGGCCTTGCAACACTGGTGACGGTCACAGGAGTATGATATTCTTGCATTTGCAAGTGAAAAGGACTAGTTGGAGACTCCTTAAAGTTTTCATTTTTAGAGAGAGCTTTCGCATGGTAGCACTGCTTGCAAGTGATCAAGAACTCAACTTCCTCTTTTGTAGAAACTGTTGAGCTTATGGTACATTCCTCGTGACAATAACCTGACAAAAATATGGCAGAAATATAAACAATGATGAAAATTTTCCTATAAATTTGGGAAGTTGGTAGTTGATCACATGATTAGCACTTCATGTAATATTC